TCTGAGCCCCGGTGTGCACTCACGCCCAGTCCCCTGACTGTGGTGGCTCCTGAGGGCAGCACCTTCCTCACCCACTATTGCCTGAAACCATGCCCGGTCGAGCACCTGCCAATGTGCCTTGGGCAGCACTTCCTCCCCAGCTGGGAAGGAAGGCCCACTCACAGACAGAGGCCTGGACACCAAGATGCAAGGTGCCAGGACCAAGGCCTTGGATTTCTTGGTGGTTTCCAGGGAGATTTCTAGAAGAACCAGGGCTTGGATTCATAGTGACAGGATGACCTGAAGCGGGGCATTCAACCACAGGGTAACCTGGTTCTCCTTCAAGTTTCTTTACCTTCCTTCCATTTCAGCATCTACACACACACACACACACACACACACACACACACGCTTCTATTAGGGTGTCCGTATTAGAAGCCCACCTGTTGATCACCACATGCGAGACTGGGGAAGCCCTGGATGGGTGGTGTTACTGCCTCACTGGAATCAGCTTATTCCTGACTCTGTGGGCGAGTCCGGTTCTGAATCATCCCACAGCACCTCACTCATCCCCAGAGCTCAGGCTCGGGGGCACATGACCCAGGCACCCCTGATCTCCGCCCCCTTTTTTGCTCTTACACGTCCCCTGCATCCCTTCCCCTTCAGGGACTTTCTTCTCTTTGCCCTTCCAGAGGCTTTTCTCAGAAAAAGCGAACGATGTACTCAGTGGTAGCTACTCTCAGGGGTACTTGTGTTGAACCAAATACGGGAGGCCTTAGTCAAAAAGAATTGATTTCTAGTTTCAGATTTTCAGTCATTGAAAGTCTGAAATGGCGGTGGCGGTGAGTGTGTGAGTGTGTCTATGACTGATGGGGATACCACCCAGGCTCCTGAAATCTTTCCCCCCAAAATTTGGTCTTGTGGGTACCCATGCGCACAACGGAAGAGGGAGCCCCGTTGTCTACAGGTCATAGGACAAATGGATAGGGTGTTCTTGGAAAGGCCCTAGTGGCTCTGTAAACTCTGCTCGCCCAGCACGCCTCGGATTGATTCACCGTTTCAACCCAGACGCCCAGGGCTGTCCAGACTAGCGGCCATGCTCGCGCTGTGCAGGCATCTTTGGTCTCTCCCCTCGGACCCCCACTCATCTTCTCTTTCCCCTTCCTCCTCTCAAGCCCCTCCCGAGTGCAGACTCCAGTGCTCTGGATGGAGAAGGTCCACTTATTCCATGAGGGATGGATGAAGGGAAGGAGAGAGGTGGGCTTGGAGCTAGGCTGCCAAATCCTGACCACTGTGGACTGGCCAAGTTCAGCAGAGAAGACCCAAGTCTAAATCAGTGCTTCTCAACCTGAAGAGTGGTTCTCAAGGGGACATTTGGCAGTGTCTGGAGACATTTTTGCTTGTCACAACTGGCGGGAGGGGTACTACTGGCATCTAGTGGGTAGGGGCCAGGGACGCTGTGAAACATCCCACAATGCACAGGGCAGTCCCCACAGGAAGAATTATTTAGCCCAAAATGTCAGTAGTGAGGAAGTTGAGGAGCTGGTCTAAATGCAGGTGGAAAGAGTCCCCCTCTGGCCTTCAGTGAGTCCCGGCACCCGGGCAGTGCCTGGCCAAGCAGAGCTGACCGTTACTGACTCTGAACAATGGACTCCAGGGAGTCCTGGAGGTATTTGCATCTGTGCGTGCTCTCCAGCCCTGCAGTGGGAGATTTGGGTAGCAGCCTGTGTGTGAGTGGTCGCTTTCCAGCTTTCAGAAAATAATTCCGCACTGTGCCCCGGGCACAGCTATAGGCATGACAAGTGACAACAACAGCAATGTTGTTAGTTAGCATTTATTGAAACTCAGCAGACCTTGTGCTTAGCAATTTATGTGAATTCTATGCTTTAATATTGCACGACAACCCAGCGAAGGAACTATTAACACAATCCCCATTTACAGATGAAGAAACTGAGGCTTAGGAAGAACCAGTGGTTTGCCCAAGATTACCCAGCTTGTAAGTAAATGGTGGAAATGGGTTGCCAAGCCGGTCACTTGGATTCTAGCATCCAAACTCCTGGCCACTAAACCACAGAGAAAAGAAAGATGCTGTCCCTGAAATAAACTCAGGGGTCTGTATGCAGATTAGTCACACTCAATGATAATTTCCAGGAAATTTCGTCCTGATAACTCAGTTTGATTTTAATTGCACAATTTGCCTTGCAAATCCCAAATTCCAGCTCAAAATAGGGTGGTTAGACTGAATTCTGTCTCCCCAAATAAGAAGCTCCATTTCTGCAGACGCGCCTGCCTTGGCCCCAACCCAGGCAGCAGAGTCGGTCTGGACCGACAGAGACTGCAGAGTGAGGACTAAAGAGTGTTGGAACTCAAAAGCCGTAGCCGCCCCTGCAGGCGGCGGCTGGATGCCGAGAGCCCCCGCGCGCCCAAGGTGCGTCCACGCTCCGCAGCGTCGCCCTCTTGTCACCGCCTTGGTAACCACACGCCGCAGGGAGGCTGCGTTTTTTCCCACGCTCACCAGGAAAGCCCACCAGAAAGCGAAAGGGCTGGAGCGGGACGGGGAGTGAAGTCTTGGGTAGAGAAAGATGAGAGGGATAAAATCGCGCTCCCAGGAGAACTGGAGCCGCGTGGACACGGCGCGCAGCAGTGGATCTGCGGCTTCTGCGAGCAGCTGGGACAGGAGGGGCCACTGCATAGGATAGCAGCACTGAAGAAGTCCGGGGTAGCTTGAGATGCGGGGGGCGGATCCAACCTCTTCACCACGCTCCAAGCCCAGTTTCCGGCTCCCTCAGTAAGGCACCTCTCCCGCGCCCCCCCCCCCCGCCCCACGCCAACCCACCCACCCACCCCCGCCCTCCCCAGCTCGAGCCCATCTCCGAAACTGCATTTCTGGTAAGGGGGTGTGTCACCGAGAGCCAGCGGGAGCCTGTCTCAGGTGCACCTCCCGACCCCCATAAATCCAGGAAAGGTGCTGGCTCAAAGCGAGCCCTTCGGATCCACCATGGACCTGGCCCCTGGGGGCCCTGCTGCTGCCGGGTCCCAAACCTCAAAAGTACACTGGTGGGCAGCGCTGGCGCTAAAGGATGCGAAAGTTCACTACCGAAGGGCTCTTAGAGCAGCGGGTTAGCCGCCCCAAACTCGGAAAGCGTCAGAATCACTGATAATAACACATTCGTTGGTATTCTATTCAGGGTGTGCCTTAAAGCACCCCGGCTTCGGCTTCGTCTTGTATTGGCACAATGGCCCCTCCTGGGAGGGCGGAGAACTGGTCTCCCGTGAGACTGGGGTTCAGGCTGAGGGGGATGGGGGTCAGAGGGAGGGTGCCAAGGGCGCGCGTGACAGGCTTTCATCTGCCTGGGGCACAACCCATGCGTCTGCTCCAGGGGGAACCAGGAGTGGCCTCTCCGTGGGGAGCCAGAACGCGCCCACCTTTATTCTAGCGGAACTGGAGAGACAACCCCGCACTCAAATGACCCCGCATCTGTTGAGCAACCCCAACTGGAGCGCCTTTCTCGCCGAAAGGACACGTGTGTTTGCTCTGCCTAAATACCAGGAGTCCGGCGCTCCCCAGGGTGTGCGTGGGGTGTGTGTGTGTGTGTGTCGGAGAGATTTCTGGCAGGAAAAGAAGTGACCCAGGCCCCTAGGACGTGGAATGGGGGGCTTGGGGAGGTCGTGGGAATCCGGATCCGCTGTTTCACGTATCCGATTTCCTGAGCAGCAGAAACACCCACTCCGGTGGCCGTGCGCCCTCCGCCTCCGCGGAACCCGCGCACCTCCTGCGTCTCTTCCTCCACGTACGAGTAAAACCCCCCGCGTATCTCCAGAGGAGGGCTGGGGGGTGCATTATAAATCGTAGGGGGCTGTGGGATTGTAACAAGAACCCGTGAGAACGCAACGTCTCGGAGCCACCAGCTCCGGCTACGGAGGACCCGTCGCGGGAACCCCGGCGCCGAATCTTTCTGGGTCCCCGAAATCGCGGCCAGCGGTCTGGGAGTAGGGACCCCGCTAATGGAATTTGCCTTAAAGCAAAGCGAGCCGGTCTTTCCAAGAGGAGGCTGCGCCATTTCGCTGGGAATTTGTCCCTAACAAATACGATAGATTAAAATAAATAGATTGATAACAATAACAAGTTATCCATCCGAGCTCAGCAAAGGACTGAGTTCAGCGGCTCGCGCGGAAGTGGTCGCTGACCTTGGAGATGGCGGTCAGGACAGCCAAACCAAGGGGGCTGGAGGTGGGGCCGGATCCCAGGTGGGACGGGGGCGCTGCAGGGGTCAGGACTACAGGCACAGCACGGGGAGCGCCCGTCCTTCCCATCGGACAGGGCTCTGCTCTCTCCTGCAGGGGTGCACCTTGCCCGAGTCGGACAGGAGACCGGGGAGCGCACCGTCGGTGGGCGCCGAAGGCGGAGTCTCGGGGGCTGAGGGTGCAGAGAGGGCTTGACGAGCTGCGAGGAGAGGAGCGGAGCTGGACTTCGCCACCCAGCCCCGCCCGGCCCCAGCAGGAAGCCCCAACCTGGCTGGGGATCCCGAGCCACGTGGATTTCTAAGAAAAAAAAAAGTTTATTTAAACTTTTGTACATAAATAAATAAATAAATATCTTCTGGTATTACAGAGACCTTACAGTTACAAGCTAGGCTGGGGCGGGGCCGGGGTCTGGGAGAAGAGGGGTCGTCAGAGGCAGAGAGCCGGCCTCTGGGGGAATGCAGAGCGTCGCCGAAACAAAGTGAATCGGTTTCCCCAACACGAATACCACGGGAGGCAATTTCGCTCGTGGGAGAGGAGCCATGGGCACAGCAAGGTCTGATGGAGGGACGACTGAACTTCGAGGAGCGGAAGAGAAAGGAAAAGAAAAACAAAACCCGGACGTTCATAAATGTGTCTGGGGGGGGTGGGAGCGTGGATAAATCACCGCAGGAAAGAGGTGGGGAGGGAAAGACGTAAAGGGGGGGAGGGGGGAGCGAATGGGCACCCGAGGCGTCAAAGGCCGAGCTTGACCCAGGGTGGAGAAAGGGGAGGAAGCGAGGAAGCCTGAGCCAGTCCAGAGAGGGCGGGCGGGGAGGCGCCGGTGGCCAGCAGGGCGCTGGGCCGGGCCGCTGTGCTGCGTGACTGAGAAGGACTCGCGCGCGTGCAGTGTGTGCACAGCTCGGAGTCCGCTTTGGACGGCCGCGGGCCCTGGGGTAGGGATAGCAAGGTCAGGTGTGCCAAGCTCTCGGCGCTTCCCAGGGCCGGGGACCTCCGCAAAGCCGTGCCAAATCCGTGCGTGGCCGCCATTTGGCAGTGGGTGCCTGGGAAACGGTGCTGCGTCCCAGGACCAGTCTTTGAGCCGCGGGGAGTGTCTGGGATGGGCGACCCGGGGAGGCGTGCTCCTAGGGAGTGACCGTGAGATCCCGGTCGTCCTTCCCCGATGAGGATGGAGACATGGGCAATTCGTCGTCATCCTCGGAACACTTGGCTGAGGAGAGCGACGCGCACTTGCAGCCTTGCGGTGCGCCCCCGCCGGCACCCGCATTCCCGCCGCCGCCGCGGTGGTTGCTGCCTTTGCCTTCCTTCTTGTGCTTCACCCGGCGGTTCTGGAACCAGATCTTCACCTGCTTCTCGGACAGATTCAGGTAGGTCGCGATCTCGATGCGGCGCAGGCGGGACAGGTACATGTTTGAGGCGAACTCGCGTTCCAGCTCTAGCAGCTGTGCGCTGGTGAACGCCGTGCGCATCCTCTTGCTGCTGGGCAGCTGGTTCGAGCTGTTGTCTGGAGTGGGTAGGGGTGCAGACACGGAAGCGATCAGACCCTTCGCTGTGGGCCCGATCCTCCGGTAGGCGGCCGTCAGAATCCCGGGTCTTTGGTCTCTCACCCACCTCTTTGCCCTGAACACAATGCACAGCGGCGTAACCGCGGGTGCCTCCTCGCCAAGCCTCGGGACCCTGGTACTCCCGGAGTCACGCGGCCCCCGTGCTCCCTTCTGGAGCGCCCTGAGCCCCAGCCCTCGTTTCGTCCTGGGAGCCCCCGCCAGGGCCTGGACCTTCTGCCTCACCCTCCCTCCCCGTGTCCTGTCCCGTCCCTCCAGCCGCACGCCACCCAGAGTGTCCACTCAGGGGCCCGAAATGGCCCTCATCGCCCGCAGAACGCCCAGGGTCCTCATCCCCCATGCCCGCCTAGTCAGCTTTCGTCTGCCCGGTCCCGTCCCTCCCCGCCCCACCTCCCCACTCCCCGCCTTACCCAAGGAGATGCAGTGGAACTGCCTGGGGTCGGGCAGCGGATAGGAGGTCTGGTACAGCGCGGCGGCGGCCGCGGCGGCCGCGGGGCCGTGAGCGACCCCGGGCGACACGGCCGAGTGCTGGCGGCCCAGGGGCGCGTGGCAGTATTGCGAGCCGAAGGAGGGGAAGGACGCCTTGAGCAGAGGCAGCGCGGGCGGCCCGGGGGGCCCGTGCAGCTGCGAGGCGGTGACGCAGAGCGGGCACACGCACAGCAGCCCGGCCTTGCGCGCGTGGCAGGCGCCGGGCGAGAGGCCGTGCAGGGCGTGCGGCGGCGGCACCGCGTAGGGAAAGAGCGGCGGCGGGCTGCCTTCCGGCGCCTTCTTCTCGCCGGCCTCGCGCAGCACCAGCGAGTCCACGAGGAAGGAGCGCGGCATGGCCCCCGTGCGCGGTCGCCCCGCCGCCAGCCCGCTCCCGGCGCCCCGCGGACCTCGGGGCTCACCACGCACTTCCCCGGGCCGCGGCCGCGCTCAGCTGCCTCTTCCGGGGAGGCCGGAGGCGCCGCTGAAGCCGGGGCTGGAGGCGCCTCCGCTGCTGCCGCGGGCGCCGCCCAGAGAGCGCGGGGTGCTGGCCAGCACTAGTGGTGCTGAAAGGCGCCGGCGGCGCCGCTTAAATAGGACTATTGCCATGTGATGGGCTACGCCAGGAGCGGCCGGGGCCTCTCAATAGGGTTTTTGTGCCTTTTCTCTTGGCATTCACTCTGCACGCTTCCTCATTATTTCACTTGTTAACTAAATGAACTGCATAATGTACTCCATTCTTGTCAACCCCACCCAAGCCGTAACAGGCGCCCTCGCCCCCTCCTCTCCCCTTTGCGGGTTTATTTTCTCATTCTCCTGCGATTTAATATTCTTTTCTTTCTCTTTATTCCTTACTCCCCTTTGGCTTTGCGTTGGCGATCGGCCCGTTTATCTTACTGATTTTGCACCCCCAATGCCTCGCTTCCACAGATCCCCATGGGCGCACACCCCCATCTTCTCTGCGCGCTCGGTCGCTGTCCCCCTCCTTCTCTCATTTCTCCCTCGCCCCCCAAGATCAGGCTGCCTCCACTTAGTCTCCTCAGCTCGGCGTTGTGCACCCCGCGAGCGTCCCCACAGCCGGCCTCCGATTTCCACCTGTGGAATCGCTCTCATCTTCCTGTGTCGGAAGCAGAAGGACCAGGGCCCCTGCAGGAGTGGCAACGCTGGGCAGAGAGGAGAAGGGCTCGGTATTTCTTATCCAGCACTAGCCCCATCGCTGTCCCTGTTTTCTGTGAGTTTCTCAAATAGTCTTAACTTTGATGCTGCCTATAACGCCCAGTCTTTGTTCGGGAGATGCTAGTCAACGATGTGGCCGTGGATGTAAAAAGGAAGTCACCCGCTGAGAATCGCGGACAGAGAGGCAGGGAATGGGAGGGAAGACTGGCCAGCGAAGATGTAGATCTCACTCACACCCCACCAGACGTGGAGAGTGTGGGCGCTCTCCCCGCCGGCGCACACCCCAACAGACCCGCGGGTGCGCTCGGTTATCACTGCCTTCCCGAAGTTCACCCTGGAGGAGCGGTGCGAGGGGCAGTTGTATTCCCAGCTTCTGCTGCCTTCGCCCACCCGGGCAGAGCTCCCCTCTCCCCAAGACCTGCTCCTGTCGTGTCACTCTCTTCTTTCTGGTCACACAATGGTTAAACAACTTCAAACGCCTGGCCTCGTGTACACAGCTTCAGCTTTTAAAATCGTCCTCTGGGCTCAGAGCTGCTTCCTGCAGGCGCTTTTTCCATACAGTGGGAAATTAGCATAAACATTTTGAATGTACAGCCTGAGACTTTCCAAGGAAGACGTTTACTTTCGATTTGATTGGAACCAAGTCACTGCAGTCACCTGCTCTGAGCCCTGAAAGGAATCGTGAGTGATGGAGGGGGAAGCTTTCCAGCCGGGGGAATCAGTGCACAGGAATAAGATGGCCCCAGATCGAAGCATTTGCACGGCTTTTCATAATTGATGACATCTCTGCAATAACAACAGCAACAAATTATAGCTGATTAAAAAGCAAAGAGAATTTATGTGAGAGAAAATAACGGATTCCATAAAAGAGAGAGGGCCAATGGGGAGAATAACCTGGATGGAGGGCCTGTCATCTAGCAGGAAGAGTAAGAGATCAATGCTTCCTTGATTGTTTTGCCCTGGGGGGGCTGGTGGGGTCCACTGCTGCCCTCAATGCCAAGGTCTCCTCCCCAAGGCTCCCAGTTCTAAGTGGGTGTTTGCAAACAAGCCAGGGTGTATCAGTGTAGCCTAATGGCGGTTCTGATTGCTCTCTGGGAAAGGTGGGCTGGCCTGGACCCCGGAGACTGGGCCCAGAGCGGGACCAAGGCCGGGAGAGGGGCTCCCTGTTGGGCAGAGGCAGGTGGGAGAGGCGCAGGGTGCAGGCAGCACCCGCAGGGTGACAGAGGCGGCCGCAAAGGGTCAGTGCAAAGCTCTCCAGGGAGCCGAAGCCCGCAGCTGGGGAAGAAGGGGTTAAGAGCCCCTGAATTCGAGCAAGGCCAAAGCTACTGGGAAAGAATATCTGGGGGGGGGGAATAACCAGTTTTTTTTTTTCCCTCCAGCCTCTGGACCTTATTGAATGTCATTGAAGAAAGTTTTGAATGCCAGATAAAGAGAGGCGAATTAAAGTGTGTGACAGCAGAGGATAAGCAAACACAAAGAGAACTCTGTCACACTTTGGGGCAAAATCCGTGGGCTTTTTACCAAGTCTCTTCGCTATGATTGAATTAAGTAATAGGAAAACATTTTCTTTCAGTTTAGAGCCATTAGACAAAAACTTCAAAGCGAATAACACTTTTTAATGTGCGGCCCACAATGGATTGGGTTTTGTGCTGAAATGTTTAAACGGTTTGTGTGCAACTCGGCGCGGGAGAGACCCGGGCCCAAGCAAAGCGGCATCCCTGAGGGGGTTTTGGGGAAGCTGGAAAGAGCGCAGACGTCATCCTCAAGCTCTAAGTCGGGCGGCTTGTGGCCGGAAAGGGGGCTCCCTGCTCGGCGGTCCTGGGCCGCCGGCTGCACCCCAGGAGTTGGATAATTTCAGGAAAAAAGTTCTGCGCCCCCCCCCCCCCCAGAAGGCCAGCTCTGCGGGCCGGGCAGGAACCGAGGGGCTGGGTGCGGCCCGGAGAGGGTGCCCAGCGCCCTTCGGCCCCGAGGCCTCTGCTACCGCCTGGCTTCTGGCAGCTGCCCTCGGAGCCGGGCTGGGAGTCGGGGGTCCCCCGCTCCCCGGGTGCACGCGGGCGGCCGCGCGGCTTTCCAGTTCGCGGAGCCTCCCAGGGCTGGCTTCTGCGGGGTTAGAACTTTCCTCGCACGAGCAAACGCCCCCAGGGCGGTGCAGGGCTGGGAGGGAGGCGGCGGGATTAGCCTGTCCGCCCGGGACAGGCGCCCGGGGGAGCCCCTCGGCCTGGTGGGCCCTGCTCTGCCCCCGAGCTGGTTTTCAAGTGTCCATCAGGGACAGTTCAACATGGAATAACTTTCTGTTGTCCCGGTCTTTTCTTCTTTCAGCCTACCTCCTTTCCTGTTGGTATGGAGAACACACCATGTTTCTCCTGGAAATGCAGCTTTAATATATTTGCAGCAAAAACTGCACAAATTGGGGGTGGGCTGGGGAGGGTCCTTGTTCCCTTATCTCATTCGCATATTTCTTCAAATGTCATCTTCCTTCTCAGGAAGGCCAATGACCCTACTTAAAAATATCACCCCTCTTTCCCCAACCCTCCCCACAGGATTCCTTGCTTTATAAATACCTTCCAACTCTGTGTCCTTCCCCCCTCAGTTTCTCTGCTCTCTGCGCCCCGCTCCCCGCTGAAATGTACGTCCCACTGAGGATTTGCGTGTCTGTCTATCTTGTGCATTACTGTTTCCCAACTCAGGACAGTTACTGGCACGTAGTACGTACTCAGCCTGTATTTGCTGGATAAAAAAATGAATGAAAGTGGCCTGACGCAGGAGGTGGGGTGGGGAAGGAGAGGTCCTGGCCTACCTGCTTACTAAACCTGGACACTTAAGAGCATGGCAGGGGTAACTGACCTGCAGGGACTGTCTGACCCTCTCCCAGCCACCACACCCTCCCCTGGGCCCAAACAGACAGGAGCTCAATGAATTTGTTGAGTAAATGGCAAATCTGGAGGCAACATGGCTTCATAGAGGCAAGATGGTCCCATTCAAGGCAATCTAGTGTCCTGCTCTGGAGAAGTTGGATGAACTCATAGGTAGCTCAAGGCTAGGGGTGTCATCTGGGTTTTTCACGGTGTATAGGAGAAAAGATGGGTCAGAGAGAGATGTGGGGTGTGCTCTGGAATTGTCAGTGACCGTTTCTGTGCTTTCTGGCTGAAGGCAATGGAGTGGGAATCCTCATGGGTGAGGGAGGGGCTGCTCCCTTGACTGGGCCGGTGGTGACTCAGACCAGTCTGCCAGCAGTGAGCATCCTGCCCAGTGGAGCAGAGGGGCCAGAGGGCACCTGACCTACCAAGGAATGATGAGGGCATCTGGGAGGCAGGAGTGGGGGGCGCCCACTACAGGGGGGAGGGGAGGTGCCCGGACACAGGTGTGCTATGAAAGTGGAGGCCGAGCCATGAAGGGCCACGCTAACAGCTCTGTACTTGATCCTACTCAGAAAACTTTATGCAGGGGTGGTAACAGAGTCAGATCTGAACTTGAGACATGTAACTGGCAGCAGTAGGAGGTCCTGTTGGTCCTGATGGGGACAGAGAAAGGCCAGAGCAGGGTCCGACAGAGTCGGCTTGCAAATGAATGTTTACTGAACTATTGAATGAACAGAGGGAGGGAAACAAACAAGGAGAAAATTGTATCAGTTCAGGTGATGGTTAATGACCGCCTGAGCTGGGGTGGGGTTAGGAAAAAATTTGAAGGGGGAATGGGTAAGATCAAGTAGGGTGGGGTGTGTGTGTGTGTGTGTGTGTGTGTGTCTGTGTCTGTGTCTGTGTGTGTTGGAGGGGAAGGGCACGAGACAGGAAGCCACACACACCCGTGGCCACTTGGTCCGAGGGGATGGGAGGGTGGTGATGCCACAGGCAGAGACAGGGATCTGCAGAGCAGGGCCCACTTTTGCTCATGAAGCTGCAACGTGATGTCATATTTGGACGTGTTGCATTTTCATCCTTAACCTCAGCGGCTTCTGCTGATGTCCCATGGTGAAAATGTGAGTCTAAAGTTGGGTAGAGAGATTAGAGATGGAAAGAGAGATTTGGGACTTACGTATACAAAAATGGTAGCTTTAGTCTTAGGATGGAAGAGCTTGGGGGTGGGGGAGTATAGAGAAAAGACGAGATTGTAGATGTATTCCTGGGAACACCCATATTTAAAGAGACGGCTCTTTGAAAGTCAGAGAAGAATTTTCAGCATCCATCTTAGAGCAGGTAATAATCCTTAGGATAGAAGCTTCATGCTGGGAATAACAGAGCAGAAAGGTGGCAAGAACCAGGGTCCCAGAAGATCAGGGAGCTGCTCTACTCATTTTTTGTGAGTGGAAGATAAATGTTTATAAATAAAATGAAATAAATAAAAT